TTTATTATCATTGTATTCGGGCGCGCCGAGCATTGTAACCGTGCTCAGCAGGGATGCACCAAAATTACATTTCAAAATTTCTCAGGCCGAAACTGAAGCCAGAAATGACTTGTTTTTTTTCCAACCTTTTTGAAATGTTTTAATTTTTTTGTTTTTGTTTACTGTTGGGGGCTTTGGGGAAATATTAGGGGTTTAGATCCCTAATCCCCCTGATCTTTCCCTTTTTAAAAGAGATTGCGGACGCAAAGAGTCTTCAAACTCTTTCTTTTTCTGCAGCCCCAGCACTCAATGAAGAGGAAGCACTCGGCACAGAGACTTCCTGTACATTCAAAATCTGGAGATAGTAAATATTTACTGTCAACCGAGTCATGAATGGACAATAAGCCTCTGTACTGAGCTGCTTCCTGTTCATTCATAAAGTGAGCAGATAGTAAATATTTACTATGTCCCCATTCATGAATTAACAGGAAGTGATGTGTATCACTTCCTGTTCATTCGTAACTGGGGACATAGTAATCACTATGTCCTCAGCTATTTGCAAACACCGAGTGATCAGTACTGATGGCTGAGTGTTTTGTGCTCCGGTCTCCATCCTGACTGCTCCTCTTGTCATAGGAGCCAGACTCTCCTCCCACACCGCCCAGCCTCCTGACAGCTTCTCTCCTCCCTGCTGGGTGTCGGCAGTTGGAACAGCTCTGTGTCCCCTCTGATCCTCGCTGCCTCTGCCGACCAAAGCGGGGAAAAGCAGCGGGGATCGAAGGGGACACAGACAGATGCTAGCTGGGGATGCACTTCATTTTCGGCCATTTTGGCATTTTGCCCGTGGTACCATTTTCGAACTTTCAGTCTTGCATTGTGCACCAGTGTCAGAGGAAGAAGCAGTACAGGGAGCAGCAGTATAAATACCTAAATCTGACCAAATAGCAGCCCCATGCAGTCCCCTGTACAGCGGAACTCTGACTAGTAGAGGGGAAACGTAGCACCAAGAGTCAGTTATCTGAGCCACAGTACTCAAGGGCAGACAAGAAGCATGCTGATAGGAGAAGAAATCAGAGTGACTTGGAGATGAGGTCATCACTGTGCTGCTTCTCCATTTACTGCATGCCACAGGTTGGGCGCAGGTCCAGGATGACCTGGGCTTACAGGAAGTGGGTTGATTGATGCCGCCCGTCAGACTGAGGACATCTTGTGTACAATTTCTTTTTATTGTACTCTTCATTGGATCCAAGTTACACTTTAATTTGCTTTTCATGTGCAGAAAACCTGTTTTCTACTTATTATCCGGAGCTGTGCTGAGTTGTCGCGCCGTTCCTGCCGCAGTTCTTGAATTCGGCGGTGTCGTCCCCCAGCCATGTATTTGTCACTGGGTGCTTTTTATTCACCGGGAACAGAGGTTGTCTCTTAGCGGAGGATGAGGGATGTGGTGATTTGCTGTGTGGGATTATAGGAGAATGGTTGTAGGGGTAGAGCTGCTCTATCTCCGCTCGCTGGGTACATCTAGCGGCCATCGCTCTCTGAGCGTGACATTATCTGCTCCGTCCAGCACAGAGATTTGTGATGATGTGATAATACGGCGGCTCGCTCCTTTTGTCTGCTCCACGCTGCTGTGTTCACAGTGACAAGACGATTGGGGTGGGTGGACGGGACAGAACAGGACGGGGGGGCTTGTAGGGTTTGCCTACCTGCATTGTGAGCCTGCGAGGTGTCTGTTCTGTTGGCAGATTACTTTATTTGTGTCGGCATTTATTGACACAGCAAGCAGATGGAAGCAAGACAGAATCAGTACTTGCACACCACAGCCGGTTATTGTACTACCAACGGGTTCCTGATGCTGGTCATGTATGGCAGTACATTGGCTTGAAGCAATGATTTTTTTACATTGTATCTAAGGGCCGCAGCCCCAATGGCCATCTTTACCCAACCGGTTAATGATGGCCCAGCCAGTTTGACCCATGTCCTGTTGCTTCAGTCTAAGTGGTTTCTAAGCTCTAGCCCCCTCTCCTCAGTATTTGACCCTTTTGCTGCTGCTGACCTATGCCTTACAAATGGCAGGAGCGGGCCCCTGTTAGCAGACTCCCAGCAGCTATAGTCTGTTTACATGTGTGAAGTCGAATGTCGGCTTTACACTGGAATTGATTCCACAGCCATATAAAAACTTCCACAGGCTGACAAATGTGCGCCACCCACCATTTTTCCTGGGCTCGGCTGCCCTTCCCGTGGGCCCGGAACTGGCATTGTGGGTGTCAGCGGAGAGAAGGGAGAGGGGCACGCTTTTGCCAACCCGTGGAAGTTACATAGTAACTGTGTAACTTCCACAGGCTTGCAAACGTGTGCCCTCTGCCCAAAAAAACCCCACCATGTTTCCTGAGCTCTGCTGCCTCTTCTGTGGGCCCAGGACTGGTATTGTGGGTGTCAGTGGAGAGGGACCAGTGAACACCCATTCACTCATCTCCCTCCTGCTGAATGAACCCGGAAGTGACGATGATTTTGTCACTTCCAGTTTCTCAGCTGTCATTCCCCAGATTCATCTATTTGTTGCAGTAACCTGTATTGACGCATAGCGACGCAATGCACATTTGTTTCAATGTAATAATAATAATGATGTACTAATAAATATAACCCATCTGTGGTGTGGTGTGGTGTGGTGTTGTGGTTGTAGGAGGTGCATCAAAATGTTGCGATCAACCATGGCCACTGGGACCTGGATGAACCCGATTAGAAAATGTTGTAAGTCATCCTTTGAATTGGTG